TATATATATATATATATTCATAATCTCTTTCCAAAAATGTCGAACTCTTTGGATACTGATATGAAAGATTGAATCTTGGAAGACCTTAGACTTGGGTTCTTGATCTGAGATTGAATCTATGGAAATTGATTGTTCTGTGATTTTTTCTGCAGGGACAAACTCCCTTGTTTCCTCGTATCTTCGGCCATGAAGCTGGAGGGTAATCTCACTTTTTCCTCATAGATTCTGCACGATTGGTTACTTTCTTGAACCTTTTATGACCGGCCATAACTCTTGCGTTAGCCTCTGGCTTTAGTAGTTCTGTCATGCCCTGCCTGGAAATGGATCTCTACTACTAGTTTCGGTTGCTCGAAATTGTGTTTAGTCTCTTGCTTTAGCTGTTCTGTCATATCATATCGTGTCTGAAAATGGGTCTCTACTACTAGTTCCAGTTAAGCCATACAGTTTCTTGTGCCATGGAGAATTCAAGATTCATGTCCAAGAATGTTACCCTGCACTGGCTTTAGACGTTCTGTCGTGTCATGTCCTGTCTGAAAATGGATCTCTACCATTAGTTTCGGTTAAACCATACAGTCTCTTGTGTCATGGCGAATTCAAGATTCATGTCGAAGAACCCTACGCTTGCTTTAGCTGTTCTGTCATATATGCCCTCTCTGAAAATGGATCTCTACTATTAGTTTCAGTCATCCATATAGTTTCTTGTGTCCTAGAATTCAAGATTCATGTCCAAGAATGTTACCCTGGACCGATTTTAGCTGTTCTGACATGCCCCTGTCTGAAAATGGAGAATTCAGGATTTCTGTCCAAGATTTTTACCTTCAAAGAATGCTTTCAGAACTTGCTCTTTTCTTTTTGTTGCGTGGTTTAGGATTGTGGAGAGTGTTGGAGAGGGAGTGACGGATCTTGAGCCAGGAGACCATGTCCTGCCGATCTTCACGGGCGAATGCAGGGACTGTCGGCACTGCCAGTCGGAGGAGAGCAACATGTGCGATCTCCTCAGGATCAATACCGAACGAGTAACAATGATCCACGACGGGAAATCGAGATTCTCAATCAATGGCAAACCCATCCACCATTTTCTCGGAACTTCCACCTTCAGTGAATACACTGTCGTCCACTCCGGCCAGGTCGCCAAGATCAACCCGGCTGCTCCTCTCGACAAAGTCTGCGTCGTCAGTTGCGGCCTATCCACTGGTCCGTTAACCCGAAAAAAAAAATCGGTTCTTTTTCCCCCAGGTTTCGTTATCGTTTGATATCTATCTAATATTGTGTTCTTGTTACTGTCTGAAAGGCCTTGGAGCAACCTTGAACGTGGCGAAACCGAAGAAGGGTCAGAGCGTGGCGATTTTCGGGCTCGGAGCTGTCGGCCTCGCTGTAAGACTCGGGTTTTTTCCGACTTCGAATCCATCTAATGTTAGTTTCGGAGATGGTTATTAAAACCTATCTCTCTCTGTGCGTAGGCTGCTGAAGGGGCAAGAATCTCGGGTGCTTCAAGGATCATCGGTGTTGATCTTAACCCTAACAGGTTCGAGGAAGGTATAAAAGAAAATGTCTCCATACATATATACATATGTGTATGTATGTATATACCTGATATCATCATTCTTGATTCTGATCGCATACAATGCTCATTGATTTTGTGTTTGCAGCCAAGAGGTTTGGTGTGACAGAGTTCGTGAACCCTAAAGATCATGACAAACCAGTTCAAGAGGTATGTCTGAATCTGATATCCTTTCTTATCATGCATTCATGTGCATAGGAGTTGGCACAACTGGGCTTTTGAGATTTTCGAGTTGTTCGGTTCCGAACCCTCACATTCCGGATATTACCCGGTCTCGGATCCGGTTTGGTCTGGGGCTTATTAACATTGTAACCGATCTTGTCTCATATATTGTAGTGATCGTATCTCATATAATGCTCGGGTTGGATCGATCGGTACTAGAATTCGGGTTTTCTTTTTGTCCACATTACAGCATTATCGGATGTTGACAAAATCTTCTGTTTTTTTTTTGTAAAAGGTGATTGCTGAGATGACGGACGGAGGAGTGGACCGGAGCGTGGAGTGCACGGGAAGCATCCAGGCCATGATCTCAGCGTTCGAATGCGTCCACGACGTAATATCTCCGGACAAAATCCTCTTCCCGTTTAATCAAATCATCTTTCCTTCTCCTAAATACAAACCCGAAACCCGAAATTACGACGGTTTTCGATGCTTTCAGGGTTGGGGAGTGGCGGTGCTCGTGGGCGTACCGAGCAAAGACGACGCCTTCAAAACCCATCCGGTGAACTTCCTGAACGAGAGGACACTCAAAGGCACTTTCTTCGGAAACTACAAACCCAAGACCGATATTCCCGGCGTCGTCGAGAAATACCTCAACAAGGTTAGATCTTTTTCCTTTTCGGAATTGGGGTGATGATTTCGGTTATTAACCGAATAATTGAACCGAACCAAATATGATCTAAAAACCGAACGGTTATGATTTTTTTTAATCCCGAAAAAACTGAATTCGAACCGAACTGAACCCGAATATCTCCTCCCCCCAAAACCAAATTTTTTTTACCAATAAAAATCGAATTTGAACCGATCCGAATGCTATATAAAAACTCGGAATCGTGTAAAATCTCGGGACGGGGATGGATGATGGAGCATTTTGGGTTGATGAGCAGGAGCTGGAGCTGGAGAAGTTCATCACTCACACAGTGTCCTTCTCGGAGATCAACAAGGCGTTTGATTTGATGCTGAAGGGAGAGTCTCTCCGTTGCATTATCCGTATGGAGGATTGAAGAACAGATTTCTGAATCCCATAATGTTTTCTGCAATTTTTCCTTTTTCCTATATAACGTTGCGTAATAAGAGCCATCGCGTATAATGGTGATATATATAATATGCTGTTTTTCTTGTTCGTATGATAAATAAAAAGCTGAAAACTATAATGTTTTCTGCATTTTCCGGTTTTAGTTAACCAATCTCCGGTTATGTCATCGGTATTCGTCCTCGATTCTGTGCTTCCCCGGGGTATTTATGTAATTGCGTTGCCATGAAACTTTGGTCGACGAGAATTAATCGTTTGGTACAACTCGGTCCTACTTAAATATTGAACCGAACCAGACCGGATTTGATTCAGGTATCTCATTTATTTGATTCAAAATTAGACATTTTTAAGGCTTCTGTATTTGATTCAGTTTCGGTTTAGAAATTGTTCGGTTTGGTTCTATAAAAATAGATATCAATCGTTTATTATTTCATAATTGGTTGGTTTGCTTTGGTTTCGTTTTCAGTTTCTATTAAAAACAAATAATATTTTCTTGGTTCTGTAAAGTTTGATTCTCTAAAAAAATATAGTTCTGAAATTTTGTATGGTTTGATTTGAAAATAATATCGAATTCTTTTATTCGATAAGATTCAATTCCTAAAAGCCAAATTGAAACACCCATCTCTGTCTACAGAGTCGATGAAACCCATAGAGAGAGAGAGAGAGAGATATGAGAAGTGGCGGCAGAAGGCATTAATGGGATGCAAAATGCCAGATTTAGAAAAGCAAAGAAAACATGGAACAAGAACTAAATGAAGTAAGTACATTAGGTTCGGCGCCAGATTCCATAGATTCATGATGAAAACCTAAGACATCAAAATCAAATCTTGTCTCTCCGATTTCTCCAAGCGTCCGCATCTTTCTCTCTCTATATATACATATATGTATATATATCTATCTAGGAATCACATAGATTTGATACTTCCCCTACCCACGTCACACATATCCATTCATGCAAATACATTAAATACACACACATATATATATAAGTATACACGCATTGTACATGGTCATAGTAAGCCAGATTTGCTTAGCTAAGCAGAAATACATGTTAAATTAAAAAAGAAAATAAATACTTGACACGCCAACCAAATCTAATGATATATATATATATATATATATTCTATTAAATTGCTTTGGTCAAGAGGTTGGATGATTAAAAACATTTCTTGGTACTCAAAGAAAAACGTTTCCTTTTCTTTCTATTCTCCTTTTTGTTTTGCTTTGTTGATTATTTCATTTGCGCATTTTCACAAAAAAAAAAAAATTAAACATTTTACCAAAAATAAAATTAAACATGTAATAGATAATAGATATGAGATATATGGGTTGACAATTAAATGATTCAAAAGCTCGAGGAGACCTTATCTTTTATCCTTCTCCTCAATCTTGCCTAGGCGCTCATCACTGTGACTGACCACATTTCAAATCATAGATCATTCAATTAAGATTTCCTTCTCTTTCTCTCACTCCCTTTCTTTCTATCTTGAGTGACGTTTTAAGTTTAATGTTATATATAGACATATATATATATATTTATATATTTGTGTATCTATATATATATATATAACATGGAAATGATTTTATTACATAGTTTAATCATATAATATTTTGTAACTGATACAAGGGAGAGTAGTGTCTTAGTTAACGTGACGAAATGAAGAAGAATTTTGGCTATTTTATAAAGTAAGACCAAGTATATTTCGGATACACATTAATACATACATACATACATACATGCATAGTTGTATTTGTTTAATCACACAAAAGTGGGCCACACTATTTTTTAAAATTTAAACGCAAGTATGTATGTACGTACGCATGTGTATCTATATATGTATGTATCTTTGCTATTATGCGTTTAAATTAAAAAAAAAATTCTAGCGGGCAGAAATTAAGAAAAAAAGGTCATTTGCTTTCCAAATTGGATCATCCATTATACAATTATCCATGCACTAGAATTTTATTATTTCTCATTAACAATATTATACATCTACATACGTACATTCGTAACGTAAACGGGGATCGATTAAATAACATAAAATTCATGGTTTATAATCCAAGAAAAAGATATTCAGTGCTGTTTATATTAGCATCGGGAAAAAAAACTCGTACAAAAAAAAAACCTACATCTTTTCCATGGAATACATAAACCCATGGGAACCCACAAAAAAAAAACGGTCGAATAACCGATTAATCCCATTCCCACCTATAAGATCCGACCATAACACCGAATATAAAACGTTAAAATCCCGATTTAATCTGTATCAAAAACATAACACGGGAAAATAGACAACTCAAGAAACTATCTCGTAACTGAGACTGGAAATTAGCTATAACGATCAGAATAGATTATTTTTATTCACATTCTAACACAAAAACTAGAACGGCGATTATTAATGCTTTATATGAGATTTAAATGATAATTCCAGAACTTCCATAAGTTTATGTCTTCCGATTCTCGGACAGCCATTTGGATCGCATGTAATCGGGTTTCCTCCACGGAGGCAAGTGCATTCCTTCCTCTTTCATCGACCGTTTCAGCGCGGAACAAACCAAAGACACAACCTTCTTGAGCCTCTCCTCTGTCGCAACGAACACGACGGGAAGAATCTGAGTTATGTCTTTGTATGCCTTTGCAGGTTTCGCCACTTCGAACTGTGATTTGAAATCCAAATCAACGATTATACGTTTTCTGGGTTTTGTTTCACCGTTAGCACTCGTTGTCGTTATCACGTCTATGTACTCGTACTTCCCCTTGAACTTGAACACTTGACAACCTGAAAAAAAATACAGATTCCACAAAACCCTAATGTTCAAACCCTGATGTTCAAGACTTTGACTTTTTTCACTTCTTGTTCTAACGAAGTGAAATTCAAGTAAAAGTTTACAACTTTATTAAAATTTGGCAAATGGGTATCCACTGAAACATCAAAGAAATCAAATCCACATAGGTATATATATATATTGTTTTTGCATGTTCATATATATCTTCATAAGCAAACATATGCATGAGTATATATATGTATATAGTGATATAAATTGGAAATCAGAAACGAATCATATGATATGAATACCTTCACGGCGATCGAAAGAAGAATCCCAAGAAGTTCTGCAGAGAGAAGCATCGTAGCCGTCGGATTTGAGCTTAGCGACCAATTTCTTCATCATCTCTCTCTTCTCGTCGTCTCCTTCATATGGCAATTTCTTTCTCTTGCTATAAGCCGCTATCTTCTGCATAATCTCTCTCTCATCTTCATGCACGTTGCCAAGCACCTCCTATACATATAGGTGCTTATATATATATGACTTGTACTTGCTCACCACATGTATTCATACGGAGACGACGAACGATCATACATTTATACATGTGTGTGTATATGTACCTTGAGAGAGAGAAGAGGAGAAAGTGGTGTCGGAGACTTTTTCCGATGATCGACCACCGGAGATTCTATGTAATCTATCACAAGCTGTTCGAATTCATCATCCCCCAAGCTCCCCATTGATGATATTTTTTCAGAAAGTTTGAAGAAAGAGAAAACAACCTTTTTGGGATTCAATCGGTAATATATAATTTTTTTGCTGATAATCTTATCCATTAATTTGCATTTTCTATATTAATATTCATTTCAAGGGGTTTTGATAGATGTTGATATTTCATTTTCGTTTGGATAAACATTTTTTTTTAATTTAAAATTTTAAAATGGACTTTCTGATGTCGTAATGTATGAAAAAGTCGTTTCGTGTCATTTTCCGCCTCGTCACATACTCCAATGATTCCAAACTTACCCCTCAGAGCAAATACGTGTGCGTAAAAGACTAAAATTTGTGCGTATAGAGCTAATTATGTGGACATATACGTAATGTAAATACATAATAAACAACATTTATAGCCTCATTTCGTGAAAATTACATCATGTATCACAGTCGAAAATATATTTTGACCGTCCTTACCTATTTTGATTCGTTTTAGATGGGGAAAATTCCTGTCAATTTGCTTATCGAATCTATATCTTTTTTTTTTTTTGATAACGGAGGACCCCTACATGCTACCCTTAGGGCTTCTGACTAGGTAAACCTCCGCCCCAGAAATAGCCTTTGTATATGGATCATATAAACCCAGAAATTAACTCCCTCCCCACCAGCCAAGAATTCGAGAGAGGATATCGAATCTATATCTTGTCGAATGCTTGGTGTAAGAATATCCTCTTTGTTGAATAATAATAATAATATATGTGATTGAATGTTTTGTAATTGGTATTTATACAGACACACATTGGGCATTATATATATATAACACTTGGGGCAACAGTTATATAATTTTTTTTTGTTATTGGTATTTAGATCCTCATCAAGTCAATAGTCTTTTGCCTTGTTCGACACGTAAGAGGAAACCTCAAGGAGATTGCTTGAATTATATTTTATACTTTTCCAAATTATGAAATTGGTTTTATATGTGATTGAATGTTTTGTCACATTTTAGGAGGCAATATAATCAGTCAGCGGACTGACAATATATGTATGTATATGCGCTTATGCATTCACACGCATATGTATAAATTGGAATGGAACAAAAAATATATATAGAATGATCCCAGAATGTAAAGGATCTACGTGTTGGAGAAGTGAAAATGGAACATTGAATATGTCGATTTTTGGTCAAACATTATTGTCGTTTTTTGCGGAGAATATCTCAAAACAATATTTGAACTTTTCAATTTTCACAAAACAAAATCTAAATTTTATTTTTTATCAAATAAAACATTAACTTCATTAACCTAAACTTTATAATCATTATCATTTTTAACCCTATTGATGACGTGGTATTTCTGACATCCTACGTGGCAAGTCAACATTTTGATCATATTTGACACATAATCGTCCACGTGTCACGACATCGGAACGTCACGTCAGCAACGGAATTAAAAATGACAGAAATTATAAAGTTCAAGTTTATTTTTGACTAAAAAATGAAATTGAGGTTTTATTTGATAAAAAATGAAGTTTAGATTTTAGTTTGTGAAAATTGAGAAGTTTATGTATTTTTCTGGGATTTTCTTTTTTTGTATAGAGGGTAGGAAGTCAACTATCAGAATAGATTATTTTTATTCACATTCTAACACAAAAACTAGAACGGCGATTATTAATGCTTTATATGAGATTTAAATGATAATTCCAGAACTTCCATAAGTTTATGAAACCATGATATATACGTGGCATTAGATTACAGTTGAAACAACAATGGTAAATGTACAAAATAATTATGTAAACCGTTCAAAATCGATACTCATTCCTTTTCTAAATAAATGATATTTTTTAGATTTTTTTAGTTATTTTTAAAAACATTTATAATTTTACCCTTAATTTAAAATATTTAATTTCAATAACGTGTTAACAGAAATATGATTTAATAAGGATATATATATATATTATTTTTTTTATATTTTTTTAAAAAATTGTGAAAAAATTTAATACGTTATATATTTAGAAACGATGGGACAGTAAATAGTCAAATTGAAAATGAATATGTTTATATAATAACTCACCCGAACAAATCATATTGGAACTCTATGGATTCAAGAGATTAATTACCAATCTCAATTGAGCAATCGCAAAAAGAAATTATATAAATTTTATTACTAAAAAGAAATTATATAAATTCAAAGACGGACAAAGATTAGTTTGAATGTGTAAAATTTAGAGGTATTGGTTAATACTTAAACATCATTTATTACTTATGGTCTATCTAAACAAAAATTATTTCAAAAGAAAGTTGAACGGGAATGAACTCAATCAACATATTGTAAAATCTATCTATTCGGACCAACGAAACACAATCGACCCGAACGGAAACTGTTTCTGAAATACTTTTATTTCTATTTTTGTTTTTGCATGTAACATTTTGGGTATATAAGTTTTATTTTTTTTTAAATCCAAGCCCATAAAAGAAATTTGTGTGAGAAAAAAATGAATTTTTATACCATCTTCTGCAATCACCCCTCCATTACACTTTCTCTTCGCATATAACCCAAAAAAAAAAAAAAAAAAAAAATCAGAAAATTTGACAAACCAAAACGCACGAAATCCTTCATGATCAGCATCAATCTTACAAAAAAAAAAAAAAAAAAAATCAATTCCTTTACAGAAAAATGAAACATTCTAAGGAAATCACAGGATTTTCGATATCCTCCGCAGAAACTGCAGTCACTTCTTCAACCTTGTCTTCGTCGATCTCAGGATCTATACGATGAATCTTTGTCTCTGATCTGTTTCTCAGATGCGACTTCGAACTCTGCAGATCCAAACTCTCTGGTCTTTCGGAACAAGAAATAGTGTTTACCCTCGAACCAGCCATTCCAAATCTCCTACTCGGAGATGGCGACTTCAAGAATCTGCCGCTTTTCGTAGACATAACCCTTTCGTGTTCCTCACGGAAGCTTTTTTGCCGCGTCAATGGACGAGGAGGGTTTGGTGAATTCGCCCTGATTCTTCTGTTCCGCAATGGAGATCCTTCTTCACCTCCCTTTTTCGAATTAGGGTTCGACCGGTTTGGTGTTGACGGGTACCGTTTAACTGATCTAGCCGGAGAGCTAGAACGAGTAGGAGTGGCTGGTTTCGAAGATTTCAGAGAGAGAGAAGCTTCCCTCAAGGAATTGATCCGGACAACGTGAGGATTATGACGACGACAAGATTGCAAGAACTCGTTGGAGAAAGATCGGGTTTTCGAGACAGAGACAGAGGACGAGGTGGAAAGAGACGAGGTTGATGAGGAGAGAGAGGTGTTACTTGTGGTGGAAGTCTGCGTCGGAGATAAAGGCGAGAGCTTTGGAGGAGGAGGGGTAGAGTTATCCTTGATATGGATATGGAAAACCTTATCCGGGATAGGGACGAACTGTTTCTTCTCCGGAATAGGGACCGGACAAGCTTTGCTCTGGTAATGCGAGACAACGAGCTTGTCCTGAACATAACTGTATTCTTCTTCTTCTTCTTCTTCTTGTTTGAATTTCTTAGCCTTGGGAGGGAACTTGCTGATGCAACAACCCATTTTCTTTTTCTGGGTTTGATTTCGATTTCGATTTCGATTTCGATTTCGAAAAACTGGGAAACCCGGAACTGGAAATAGGCAAAAGAGGCAGAAGAAGTAGATAGATACATATATTGCGGTCTGCGTGTATGCAATGACCTGAAGGATGTTGGAAAAGTAAAAAGCAAAAGGGAAAAAGGAAAAAAGCGGAAAATGATGGAGGAGATTTGAACCTATGAGGCAAAAAGACTTTAGGTTTTGAATTTTTTGTTGGCGGCCATATTATATAAATATGAAGCCGTTGGGAGCAACGGTCATTAAAAATATTCTTAAAGAACTAAATCGTTTTGGTTAGGGATGCCCATTTTAGTAAAATCAAATCGAACCCGACTCAATAATATCCGAATTGGTATAAAAAAAGCTGAATGGGTATGTATATCCTAACAAAACCAGAAATCTTTACAGAAAATTAATATTTTTTCAACAAAAATCAAATAAAAAAACCCGAACCAAACGCAACATAAAACAAAATTTTTTATGAAACACGGATATCTAAAAGATATCAAATCTGTTGTTTTATAATTGATAGGCGTAGATATCTCATCCGACTCGTAATTATGTAATTAAACGGGCTGAATTCAGTTGATACACATGTGTGATACCCCCACCCCCACCCCCACCCGTTTGAAGATATGAGGAGGGAATCTTTTGTTTCAAAGTTGGGATAACATTTTGTTGGAAATTACGAATAAATATTTATGCCAGATTCCCCATGCATGTCTAAACCAATCACAAATGCTATACCTATATGCTCTCTCTCTCTCTCTATATATATATATATATTTATATATATATATATGAGATCAAGAAAAAGCATGGGTTTCAGTTGGTTAATCCACCTAGAGATCTAACCACCCTAGTCTGAAAATGAGCAATATAATCACAATTATAATACTGTAAGATCAGAGAAAGAAAAAGAGAAGAAAAAGAATGAAGGATGTGTAGAGAATGAAACCTGAGTGAGAGTTATGAAGAATTTTACTGTCTTTTTTTTTTTAAATCAATCTTTCATTCCATGAGCTCATATCTGTTCTGTTCTTGATCTTTCAGAGTGTTAGCTGCATTCAGAAGCATGTCCATTCCTCCAGCACGTATATCCTCCTCCTCTTCAGCACCATTCTCTCTCAGTTTCCTCTCGAGATTCCAGATTTCTCTCCTGCTTTTCCGTTCCTGCAGGTTCCCCATCTTCTCAATCGCCTTTCTCGCTTTCCGGACCTTCTGGATCGCGGCTTCACAACCAGTGCAGAACCACTTCCCTTTCGGAACCGATGTGAGTGGAGGTTTCATGCAATAGATGTGGTATGCATCGTCACAACCATCACACAGAACTATCTTATCGTCGTCTTTGTTGATAAGGCAGTTCCTGCATAAACAAGAGGGGCAGTACCAACGGACACCATGTAGTTTTATCTGCCTCGATGTCAGGCACCTGATGTGGTAATATTTGTGCGGGCAGTATGGATGATCACATGTGATGAACCTTCCACCATTCTCCACCTCAGTTCCACATATCTGACAGACTTCGGAGTCTTTCTCCCCTTCTGAATGACGATGAACCCCATGGTCATGGTCATGGTCATGGTCATGGTCCATGTTGCTACTTGAGTTCTCTTCCAATTCATTTGAATCTTCTTCGAATGCTGTATTGATATCAACACTGCTATTATCCATCTTTACCCTTCGAGATTTCAACCTTTCACAAGCTACACAACACTCATGAGGTGATCCAATTCCCTTAGATGTGCAATTTAAACAATACCAACTCTTCTTCGGTATTCCCTTCCCAGCAGGCTGTACACATGAGACATGGTACATATCCTCGCAATGATCACATGCTAAACAGTCTCTCACCTCTGCCTTTTCTCCACATAGCTTGCAAACGTCAACGATCCCATCATTTCCCACGTTATGTGCTTTTGGATGAGACTCTGTTATGCTAGAATGGAACTGTTACAAGGTGCACAATTTGAAAAACATTTGTTAGAACGAAATTCATGCTTATCGTGAAACAAAAACATCGCATAAATCCATGCATCCCAACGGCCTGGCTCTCACCTGTTCAGCATAGGAGGTCCTTGAAAGCTCTGAGAGCCTATTACAAAGAAAAGACATTTCATTTCCAACAGAAAGCAATTTCTTCCAGACCTAAAACCATTAAATAGCTTTAGATTTATGTCTGATATTAATCAAACAAATAATCAAGCAACCCCATAATGAGTTGAGGTCTGTTTTCCTCATACATTACTTCCAACGTTGAGTAGAACAAGAAAACATTTCACAGCATAGTTAACCACTTAATTGTTGTATTAGTGTATTTACTAATTACCTCTTGAATATCGGCTGAAAAAAGCATAGGTGAATGTTCGTAAAGTCCCGCATTCATCCTGGTGGCTATCAAACTCGTGGACAGAAGGTTTTCAACCCTGATTCCTTGAAGATTTCTGGTAAGCAACTTACTTAATGATGCAAACTCCTCTGAAGCTAAAACATTCGAAAGAACACGTTGACAGCGCACTGTCGTAGTATCACAAACCGATCCATTTGAGGTTTTATTTGCACTGACAACCTCAGGGAGTTTATCAGTAATACAAGTTCCTGTAGAATCTGGTCTTTCTTCTAAAGGGTACCTCTGGCCGCCAAAATCGCAAGCCACATACTCCTGAGAGAAATGGTTTACGGAAACATTGGTTCAAAGGAAAAAAATGCTTTGTTGCATCGCGTTCATGAAATTTTCTCATAACAGCGAAGTTTGAAACTTTGAACACAGAAATACAATTAAAGATTAGTTCGTACATCACTACATCATATGCAGGAGATGACCCCAAGCATCAAATAGATATTAATATGCACAAAACACTTCTCACTTCTGATTAAACCCTAATGAGAAAAGTCCTGGACAATCAAAATTTCATGGAATCATTGACTACTTACTTACCAAAGGGCTCTTCTTTTGTGACCTTGTTGGAAAGCTAAATGGAGATCCATTGACAATTACAGGAAGAAGAAAATGAATGCAACCAACTATTGCTCATTCGACATTCGTGCTACTGAACTAAAGGTGATATACAGGATCTAAATATCAATTAACATATTCTCTGACAGGTATGGTCCGTATGGATCAGAAATTCCTTCCCAGAAGCATTTTGTTCAATGGCTCCAGCTAGATTTCCAAAATCAAGTCTTACAGCAACTGATGGGTGTAAGACTTGCAAGGTCTGATAATTTAAAAGATTTTATTCTATAAGTTCAAATATCATAATAAAAGCCACAAACACTTGTACCTGATGGCTCAACCTCCCATTTTTCCTGCGCTTGTACGTTCGTATCTCTTTACTACTTCCAGACCTTGCAATAGCAGAATCACCCATAACACCAACTCTGATACAACAGTTATTCTTCTGCGTTTCACTTTTCACGAAATGTGTTGGTTGATTGCTCTCCGTAGTCTGTACCATCACTATTCATTTTGCCTTACTCCATGACCATCTTCCCTCACACTCCAGAACTAGGGTTTCACCCTTCCATCTTACTTCAGAGAGAAACAAGATAAGGTCACTCAAATCTCCACAGGACATTGCAGAATCTCAAGATGAACAGCACAATATCCTACCTCTAACCCATAATTTTTAAAGTTACCATACATCTATCATCCAGGAAACCACCAGAAAATACGGAAAACCTCATTTTCTGAACCTCATCCCCCATCAACGAGAACACTTCGCAGAACTATACGCTGTCCCTAGCACGATTTTTTCCAATATTGAAAAGCTTCAGATTTAAAAACTACACTGAAGCTGTCTCCATCCACGCACCACCAAACACAACGAAACTAAAGCCAAATTGTCACGAAGAACGAGGATAGAATAAGGAGGAAGCAAGAGAAAATCGTACCTGAGAGAATAGATCCGAACCCCCGAATCCACCAAGGAACAAAACCCTAGAAATCAGAGAGGATGAACGAATCCTTCGGGCCTCCGACGAGCTCCGGCTGTACAAATCCCGGGCTCCCTTATCTTTGAATCGTTTTTTTTTCCAAAATGTCCGCTCCCAGTTTTTTTTTTCTCGTTAACCGGTAGAATATAAATCTTGGGGGGTCGGATCTAACACCGGTCACACCCGGTAACCAGTGACGTGTAACTGACACGTGGAAGTCGTCGTACCGTGACGACGGTTGGATTTGGGCGTGGTAAGCACGCGCGTAGTCACGTGGGGCTTAAAATTCGTTTATACATGATTAAGAGAGGATTTGAAACCAAAAGACAATATTACATGTGTATATATGTATATGCGTTTTTGTAAAATATTGTTTTTCTAATTTCATATACCTATATACATGTATGTATGCGATTTGTATGTGTATGTAAGTATATATGTGCTATCTATCTTTATTTTATATTATTTTAAATGTTACTTTTGAGCTAATGGTTGACATGAGTCAGTTTTTAAAAAAAATATATATTTTGAAATTTGTTAAAATTTTTAATGTCTGAATCTTATAGAGAATTTTAGGATTATTTAATAGTTTTGAAGTTTAAACTTGATGTTTTTTTATATGATAATTTTTAAAAAGTGTAATTTTTATGAAAATTTCAGTATTATAACAATTTCTACGTATTCAGCTACGTACATGTCGGACGTACGTACGTACAGAGATATACGTATTGGCCCATATTTTAATTGGATTTCGAGCCCATAATTTCCAATTCGAGAAGTAAACCTAAAAATTAACTTCTCCTTTGGTTTTTACCAAAATCAGAGAACGGACCAAACGGTTTTCGCTCGCTCCGAGGATTCGCGCTTAAGAGTTGCTTACTACTGGGGGCGTTCGATATGATCTTTTCCTTTTTTTTGTAGCAACAAATTCTAGGGTTCGCGTTCTTCAAATCGCTAGCAGCGAGGTTCTGCACTAATCATCTCGACGTTTTTTTCCTTCTTCTGGCTCGTCGTTTGGTTCTTGGGAGACTCCGGGAAAATCGCGAGAAAGTTTGCGGCGTCGAGTTGATTGGACTCGTCCGCTGCATTGGCTCCGAAGCTGGGCTTGATCGAATCGGTAACTCTGTTGCGTTGGGCGTGATCGGCTAACCTAGCTAAAGGTAAATTCTCCTCCCTTTTCCTTTTTTTTTTCTGGAGAGGACAAATTTTTTGTTTCTGGGTGAATGCAGTATCAGGGTTTTGGAATCAGACGTTCAATTCATAATCTTTTTTCATGGGGTGTGCTCCTGCATGTTTAGTTCTGCTGCTGCAAAGTGCTTGTATAAATCTTGATTCTTCTCCTTCTGATAGTTTGGTGATTGTTTAGGGAGTGAACTGAATTGCTAATCTTTCGAAAAATGATTCATAGAACTGAAGAAAAATCTGTGGTTGGAGAAGGAGACCTGTGAAGATGGATGTGATTGATACTGGTGTGGAGGCTGATGATGACGTTGGTCGCGACACTCATATGAGACGTTTTGCTGATAATGGCGTTCTTCTTGCTAAAGCAAGGGAGTTTCTGGTTGATGAAATCTGTCAGTATCTTGATGGTTTGGAAGAGTCTAACCAAACCGGTGGACAGAACACCGATGCTGATAATGCTGATAACGCCGGTCTCTTCGAGGATTCTGTGGATGACGATACTGATCCTCAGTATAAGTTCTTCTTGGATAATCTAAGAGAAGACGGGTTTTTGTTTATGGTCGAGTACAACGTTAGTGACGGGCCACCATCGTGTCTGACGTATGAAGCGGACGATGAAAACGTGGTAGAGAATAGGAAGAGTAGAGCGGTGAGAAATGGAAAGTCTTTGCACAGATATAGTGGGTCAAAGAGATCGAGTGAGAACGTTAGAGAGGGTTATAACTTGAGAGAAAGAAAAGGTAAGGAATTGCGGAATTTGCGTAACGTTCCAGTGGTCGGAAAGGGGAATGCTCAAACGAGCAAAGGAGATATTCGACAAGGACGGAAGAATTCAGCGGTGAAGAAGAAAGCCAAATTAAAAGCTAAAAGTTTTGGTTCTTGTAAGAATATGGATGTGAAGGATGAGTTAGTGGTAGATGATTGTTACAAGGCTCACCTAATGGAAATGGGGCATATAAAGGAAAACCCCGAAACCAAACCCGAGAAACTTGTAGAAGTGAAACTCGAAATGGATACAGAGTCTTCGTGTAATTCAGATATTATTGCGGTTGCCGATCATCCATTCTCCGATGATGAATACTCCCCATTCGTTCCTGCGAAGAAATACATCACTGTATGTATACTTTTTCCTTCTTATTTTCTCTTACAAATATTGTTACTGTTCTTTCTAGTTTTTATTTTAATAATCTTTCTATCTACATTTCCTTTTCGGGAAGTTGTTCCATGTGTTCCTCACTTTCCTTATCTTTTTCGGTTTCTTGAAAAGGATGTCGATGAAGAGGATGAAGGACCTGTTGAGGTCTCTAATTCTCTGTTCAGGAAGGAGCTAATGGATGTTCTCAGGAAACCGTACGATGAGATGGAGTTCGTGAATCTCTATCGTGATGTATCCATCCAGAAAATAACTATTCAAGAGAGGGATCTGCGGAACGGAAGAGTTAGACGTGAAACCAAAATTCTTAGCGCATACATTGATCAACATCCAGGTAAATTGGTTCTCCCTAAATTCAGTTAGTCGGTTGTTAACCAGATTGGCCACCCTAGTGGAGACCATATATCATGCTGCAATTGTTTCGAGTACTATCTATTTTGTGTTTTCCTCAAGATTTAGTAGTTTTCCTCAAGATCTATCATTGACCACCACCACCATCTTTCTTACAAACGATCCTGTTTTGTCCCTATCAAGAATCTTTTCATATATATATTTTTTTATCATCCTGTATTATTGTTATTGTTATTTGATGAAAAAAATCTATGGAGGATGAAGAAAATTGGGGTTGGGGTTCCTGCAGATCTCAGGGAATTGTTTCTGCCTTGGGATGGATCCACGGAGTTCAAAGACTTTTCCGTGTTACCAATAAAGGATCGTCATAGAGCCTTGAATCTATTGCGTGGATTCTTCTTTTATATCAAGGTAAAACTATTATTATTATTTCAATGCAGTTCAATAGGGTAATTAATTTTTTAAATTGCTAGTTGCTTGATAATATCCGTAAAATTTGGAAATGACAGACCAATAACATTTGCGTGTGGCAGAACATGGTTCGTGACGGTGCATTCAAACCATGGCTCGATAAGGAATGCCTAGAGACCTCGTGCCATGGCTCGTAGAAGAGGGAGGAACTGACTTGACATCCTCTGCGGCTCTGGAGACTCTAACTGCTTCTTCTATTCATTTTGTTTCAAGTGTGTTTTGTTTGGTCTCTGTGTTGTGTCGCGTTTGTTTACCTCTTCCTTATTCTTGGCTCCGCAGTCTCCATCCACTTTGTGTTAAATATTTAGACGCCCATTAGTTCTTTTTCTATTCATTCATTCATTCATTCTTCTTTTTCAGAATTTCATTATATGTAAATTAATTCAGAAAACTCATTAGGAAACACACGAAAAGTAAAAGCAAATTTCATTAACGAATTGTTTGACGAAATTGAATATGATACAATTCTGTGTAAGACTTGTGTATGCTCCCCCACTACTACTACTACTACTACCACCACCCTCAAAACCCTAAACTTACTTGTACCCCAAATGCAGCTAAAAAACTACGCACCCGTAGACACACACACACACACACACACACACACACACACAGATGATGTGTATATATATGTATATATGCATAGGTTTAGTCAGGGAAATAAAAAGAAAAGCTTACCTCTTGTGCCCAAATCCGGTTAGTTGCATCTTTGCCTACCTCTGCATCAATCCAACCGGTCTGATTAGTTCGTACCTCGAGTCTCGATCGCCACTATTACCCGACACCGATCGCTCGTTAACCGTATCACTGTTGCTCTCTTCCACTTCATCCTCACTAACATCGAGCCTGATAAAGCCGGAAGCTTCCCCTCGGGAATCTGCACTGTTTTTGGCAGAAGACCTGTCTGCTAACACTGGCTCAGCTCCGGGAAGAACGTTGAGCAACGAGCCAAAGTAACGTCCTCTTGCATTTTTCTGCAAAGGCTCGCTCACCCTTTTCCTTTTTCTGATTCTGCTCCGGTTCTTGGGGTGGTGGAGTTTGCATTTCGATCCTTGAGGGCAAGATCCTGTCGTGTCGAAAACAGGGCAGGTGTTTGTGTGCTTCTTCCGACACTGTCACCACATACGCACATGATTCCCGACTTAAATCAAGATTTTGCATGTGAATCCAGTACGAGATTAAGACAATGAGATATAAAACCAAGTAAACAGGAGATAATACGATAATATCGAATGAAAATTCTTCTCAAATACCATACACATTCTCTTTTCCTCATACTCTCCATTCATTTGCATGAATGAAGCTACTGCAGCGTTGGAGTAGTCCGAGTAATTATTTCTGATCTTTCGCTATATGACTCATACTTAAGCCTTAAGAATGGATGCAGATGCAGTCAACATGTCATGGATGAAACTATTGATATAGTGGGGGATTAAGTTTAATCCGTTTACCTCGTTTCCATCTGAACAGTAGCCTTTTAGAAATCCTTCGCATATAGGTGCATTCGGATTGACATGTACATGTCTATAAGGACAGGCTCCATTATTGCACAAACCTGCGTTAAAATGGGTATTAGAATCGTGAATTTCTGGGACGAGTTACCGTAAAGAAAGTGGAGAGTATATTACCTTGTAGATAATAAGAACAATCCGGCATCCTTTCTGGAATGACCTGTGGGAGGAATAAGTTAACCAGTCAAGAGATTTTTTTGCGAGACCCAAAATGCTATTTTCTGCAGAAATGATTTAGGAGATGAACCTTATGCGTCAATCTGCAATTTGGATCGGTACACAATCCATTCAGAAACTTCGTGCAGACTGCGATTTTTGAAGGGTCGTGAATATAGGGGCATTTTCCGTTGCACTTGTTGCATTTCCCAAATCTAGTGAAGAACTGGCAGTACTTCTTCTTTCTAGCCAACCGAGACCGGACATTGTAAAGGCTCCATCTGACCTTCTCATTTGCCAAGGCACGAGTTCGTTTCTTAGGATCTCTGACGAGTTGATTACCATTACCAACCCGGACATATCTGCAAAATTGAACTCGAATGTGCAACTGAGGCATGAGAGGTAATAAAGACTAAATAGCTTGCATTGATAGTTACATACTCATCATTGCCGATCACCAATCTCCTTGGAATAAATGATTTCTTCACGTCCTTTCCAAATTCCAGAGGTCCAGCGCCTGGTGATTTAACATCTGACATATAAATTCATATTTCAGCTCAGCAGTCAGATAAACATGATGCAGAGGAACTCTCAAACAAACTAGAGGAAAAATAACAGATATGAGTTAATAAAATCTAGAGAGATATCATCTTGGACAGCAAGACATTAGTTGAAAGTCACCAACCACCCAGAAGCAATGATAAGGATCTACGCATGTGTACGTACATGTACACACAAATACAAATGACAATAGATGCCAATAAAGAGCCCCATTAAGCTGTTTTAAGTTAATTTGAGTCTGCATCCCCTAAATATGTACATCAACATCAAAACAGTAACATTTATGTATTGTTTAACTTCAGACTATCATACCAGATATTCTCTGAAGAGTTCGCCTTGAAGGATCCATTTTGTAGCGAATGGAACCAATCCTGAAGATGCGCTCTCCTGAGGAACAAAAGATGAGTAAAAAGAAAAAAGTCCCTTGAGTCTTTGCTGCTACACAGTCATTACAACATCTATCAATATAAACAAGAAATGAATACAATAGACACAGAGTTGAAGTGTCATAAAAACCGGTTGGGAGGCACCCCCCACGTTGGAAACATTCATCGGCATAACTTGCTACAGCACCGTACCATGTACCAACTTACGTGCGAGATGGTTCATGCTCTTTGCTCCGGTAATATCCTGTCCAGAACAATTTTCACTTTTTTTCTTCGCAAACGCAGCCACAGCTAGAGTGGCTTCCTGTACAATAATAAGAACCTTAAATAGTTGTCCAAACAACTTCCTGCTGTGCCAAAAGGAGCATCTCTTTTCGAAATGGAAGAGAAAAGACTCTTCACCAAGGAGACTGACCTCATTAGCTTTCTTCGAGTTCTTCTCAATGGACTTAGACCATTTTAAGTGTGTGCCACCGATACTCAAGACTTTGGACTTTCTAAGTGAAAACCCATTACTTGATCTCGTGTAAACTGTATGTCTCTTTCTCAGGAGCAGCAATTTTCGACTGAAACCAGAATGTTATGTTATCAAATCTGTAAAACTCAGAATCCATGAATAAAGGCATGAAACATGCCAACATACCTAACGGTGGGAAGAGAACCATTTCTCAAAACGGGGACTGAATTCATTAATTTTCTCCAATAAGTCGCTCTTTTCCAAGGAACAAGTTGTGGCAAGATCTTCTGACATTGCATATGAAGTCTATTAGCCTCACCTGGCTGCTTATCGTTTAGCGTCCATACAAGAGAAAATTTCGACCGCTTAAACGGTTTTGCTGCAGCTGAAAAAGAAGATGACATACTTTATTTCTTGTTTCCAGAGGTGATGCAAAAGGGGAAGCAAATAGATATAAATAAATTAAAAATAGAGGAGCAGTTGCAACAAGATCTACTGATGAATAATAGCAAGGTAAGACCTCACTAATATCCATCCATTTCTGATAACATACCAACGTCAGAGAACGCCGAGTTAAAATTTCTCTTGGGAACTATCTTTGCAGTTGCCTGAGCTTGTGAATCTAAGGCATCATCAGGTGACATAACTGCTAGCTTCACATGGCTATCTGAAGTTCTAACAAGCTGGTTTTTACTTCTCTTGAAGTATCCATCTGCGGGAGGAATCTGACTCTTACAAAAACTAAGTGCATCTGAAGCCGCAACCAACTGATTTGACTTTCTCTTAACATATAATACTTTCCTTGGATTTGAGGTCGGCAAGTTAGCAGGATTCTCTTTCTTCTGGCAATTTGAAGGAATACCTGTCTGATTTAGTATTTCAGAAGATTTTACCTCACCAGAATTCGGAACATCAGCTTCTTCAGATATAGCGGAATCTTTGATAGATTCAAGGAAACCATTAAGATCCAAGCCAGAAGATAACGTGCATTTCCCTGAAGTAGTAACGCTGTTTGATATTTTAGAGATGTCAGAAGGAAGTATTGACTGCCTCTCAGGAGAGTAAGTTTCTCCTGCCTTTCCAAGAATAGATGTCTCATCTGCATTAGCCCTTCCAACAGATCCCACGCTGTTGTCTTCATCAACAACCATATGGTTCACCTGGAGAGATAATGGAGGCAAGCCAAGGGAGACCCCAGCAGGAGTGCCATGAGAGGGTTTTCGAACAAGACTATTCCCCTTGCGCATGTAACTACTATTAACCTGTGCAGTGGCTTTGTGCAATTTTAGTTGAGTAGAAAAAGTAGATGACAACGGCTTGGCAGCTGCTAAAGGAGAAGGGTCACTCTTCCGACGCCATGTATTAGGTTTTGTGAT